GGCCACGCGAGCAGGGAAAACGAGCTCCGCACGAGAATACATGCAACGCGAGGTATAGAGGAGTGAGTAGCGACCAGTAGCGACGAGAATGGTCCGAGGGGGTTAGAAGAGGGAGAGGGGGAAAGGAAGGGAGAGGGGGGAGTAAGGATGAAGAGAAATAGTCATCCGTCTCTCACGGCTATCCCCGACCGAAAATAGTCCGCGATGAGTTCGGGGTAGTGGCTGAGTGCCGCGGGGGGTAGAGAGCGCGCATGAGATTGCGACACTTACCGAAGGCTGTTGCGGTGCAGCAGGGCGCAATATGTCAGCTGACTTGACGCGCGACCGATCCCAATTCTGCGTCACTATTCCACATAATTCTCAGCGGAACATTCGGCCACTCGCGCTCGCAAATGAATCCCGCCTCTTCGCGGAATCGTTGCCCGCCTCGCGTTTCACACTGTTTCACAATACGCGCACGAATACGAGAGGAGGTGGAGGAAGAGATAGAGCGAAAAAGAATTGAAGAGGAATTAAATGGGACGCAGGAAGGGAGGGCGATAGGAATTACGAAAGGGATGATTTACCGACGACGGTTACTAGCGATAATGACGACGGCACGAACAGTCCTTTCCGGAGAAGAATTCTTCTTCACACCCAACTCTCTTCGAATCTTATCTATTACCAGTCTACTCGAAGAAGCAGACCACCAAAGCTTTGAACACGAGAACGAATACTGCTGATGTGACTGACGTAAAGTTAGATCTCTTTTGCTCTCTCCCCTCCACACTCCGTCCGAGCGTGCCGTACGCAGCCGAATGATCACGAATTTACCCGAGAAAGGATCGCGAATCATGTGACTCATAGATGGGCAACTCGAATGATCGGTGCTCGCATGGACAAATCATCAATGCGTCGATTGGTCGATGACTAGGGAATAATTGAAATTGCTTGACGTCCTGTAGACAACAGCCAATCAGTGAACTCGACAAAACTGATGATTGTAAAGAGGAATATCGACCTCAAATTGGCAATCGTGTCTCTGGCACACGCTTGCATCGGTTACGGTTCATTCAAATGTGATGCCGAATTGTACTGTTGTAGTTTTCGTCGATTTTCGCTGTGTAGATTACTGATAAAAAAATCAAAGTTATATTAGAAGAGTCGCCGAGTGCGGACACAATATTTTTTTAAGAGTTTCTGATGAAATTGTCTACTTTTGTGATCGCTTCCAACAAATATTTGTATCTACTCCAAACACTTTGATTCTACTACTACTGATAGAATAAGCTACCGGGATAGTAAGAATCAGCTCTTTCATCACTGAAGGAATTGGAGAAGATTAATGAAAAGATGATTGTTTCCACATGTCGTGACTGGTTACTGAAATGTAATTGTTATTTATACTTGCACGTAGTATTGTGAGCTGTAGCCTCTTAATAGGTTAACCAAAGCGACGTTCATCAGAGTGTGACAGTTGAGATTGAATAATACGTGAGTTTATCACAATTGAAACGAAGATGAATACGCCACAATCAAATAAGAAGAATAAGAAAGTAGGGAGAAACAGAATAGGCATACCCAATGAAAGTGCGAGTCCTACAAACACAGAGACACTCAGTAGCCAGGAGGCAGCAAAATATGTTTTGGTATGAATAACATAGTAGACCTGTTTTTTTGTTATTGCGCTGGCCTGCACTAAAAGCTACGATGTGCTATCTTCTTGCATTTTATTTTTGCTTTTTCTCTTGTTTGTTTTCTGTTATTCAAAAGTTTCTTTGTATTATTTGTACTTTTTGCATTTAGAATCTTCTCTTTCTCTCTCTTTATGCCCAAATATATGTTTATCTCATTTTTAAGTACAAAAATTTTTTAGCAAAAAGATCTTTCTCAAGATAAAAGTTGACAAACTTTGAAAGAAATATAAGAAATACAATTGGACAAAATGAATCACAAAAAGGAAACAGGCAAGAAATAAAAAATAAGAAACAGGAAATACAAAGCACATTGTAGATAAATCTTAAAATCTAATCTATGATATATTTCTTGTTTCTTGCTTTATATCTTATCTTTTTGCCTTTTATCCTGTTTTTTTCTATTCATTTATTCATTTTTGCTGCTTGTTTCTTTGTTTTCTGTTGTCTAAGATGAAAGTTGAAACTTCAGACAAGAAACACTAAACAAAATACATGATTTGCTGCATTTAGCAGGGAAAGCAGCTTTGCAGCTGTTGTAAAAAATATTTTAATTATGATTGATCTTGCTCTTAAGATCTACAATAGATTTTTAAACCTTAAGCCTTAAGAAATTGATCTACAGTCGAATACGAGAAGAATAATTAATTGTGATTCGTCTATTCTTTATGGCTTATGGCTTAAAAATCTATTGTAGATCCAGGATAATCTTTCACTAGATTAAATGTATAAATCAATCATACTACATATTTCTACATTTCTACATATTTCTACATTTAGATCCAACGAAGAATTAAAGGCAAGAATCAATTAAAGAAATATTGAGTGCTCACTGATCAATTTTCTCTGCAGAATGCAGCTATTATCGACAAACAGTCACAAAGAAAAAAACAAGCAAGATGTAAAAAACAAGAAACAGAAAGTAAAGAATATACATTATAGATTAATCTTCAAATTTTTTATCTTGCTTTTGTCTTGTTTATTTATATACTTCATTTTAAGTACGAGTATATATTAGTTCAGTTACAAAGAACAGTTTTATAACTACCTAATTTAACATATTTTTTGGACTTTATACAAAATCCAAAATTTTCTATCCACTAGTAAAAATTAAAGTAAAAAAATATTTATTTTAATGCGGAGTTAAATCTCAAATTGCATGCAAATAGCTAGGTCAAATGTTCAGGTGAATAAAATTTCGAAAGTACATAAAAAGTACAAATTGGATAGATTAAACATATTAAACATATTAATCTCAATTATTGTTTGATTTATTATTTTAATAAAATATGTATACACTCTCTCTCTCTCTCTCTCTCTCTCTCTCTCTCTCTCTCTCTTTTATAAAGGACCTCGCACTAATCTTATGTAAAATGGATCCCAGTCAAATTGGCTGAAATTTTATTATAATGTAGATCATGATGTTCTGATCAAAAATTCTCATAGAAGATCCAAAAATAGACAGTTTTTAAAATATTGGAAATTCCCCGAAATGTTGGAATTTATATTTCCAATATTTGACATTCAACTTATCTTATCTCGAATATTGTCCATTTTTGGATCTTGAGCCCATGAAAAGGACTTTTGATCAGGACATCATGATCTACATTATAGTAAAATTTCAGTCAATTTGACTGGAATTCATTTTACATAAGATTAGTGCAGGGTCCTTTCTGTTAGCATTAAAAATATATAAGTTATTAAATAATTTAACTCATATTTCTGTATGTATTTCTAACAAGCAAACTTGTTCAAAATTATTTGTATATATTGATAATGTGATATACTTTGATATTTAAGGTAAATCCTATAGGAGAAGATGGAAATAAATCAATTAAGTTGGCTATCTTAGACGCAATTCCTATAATTTCTATGGATTCAAGTATGTTTGATGAGAAAATGCAGAAAAGTAATGCAGCATCACTAGAAAAAGAAAAAGAAGATAAGAACATTCTTAATACTTTACCTATTGCTTTTGTTAAGGCAATAGAAGGCTATGAGAGTCAATTAGGAGAGGCTAAGCCACTTCCAAATTCTTATATTAGATTTATGGAGCGTAGTGGTGAAGAACTCGATGGTAAAATATTTTTGTTTATTTATATAATATAATGTTCATAATATTCAAATGTTGCTTAATTATATATTACAGTATTTTTTTCATTAATTAAGCAAATCTATAATATCCATTTCTTGTACCTCTCAGATATCATATTTATTAACATATTATAAATATGTTAAGTTCTTACTGTAATATGAACTTCTGCATATTATTGTTATTATTGTTATTATTGTTACTATCATTTGAAATATTATTTTGACAGGAGAAGTAGAATATGATTTAGATGAAGAAGACAATGCATGGCTTTCTATTGTTAATGAAAGAAGATTGGCTTCTGGATTAACACCCGCATTGGAACCTGATACATTTGAGCTGTTGATGGACAGACTAGAAAAAGAATCATATTTCCAGCAACAAACTAATGGCGGAGGAGGTACTGCTGCAGATGAAGATGCAGTATGTTGCATTTGCATGGACGGAGAGTGTCAGAATAGTAACGCAATTCTGTTTTGTGATATGTGCAATCTTGCTGTTCATCAAGATTGTTATGGTGTACCATATATACCTGAAGGACAATGGTTGTGTAGAAGATGCCTACAAAGTCCATCCAGGGCAGTAGATTGCATCCTCTGTCCGAACAGAGGCGGTGCTTTCAAACAGACTGATCGTCCTGCGACATGGGCTCATGTAGTATGCGCTTTATGGGTACCAGAAGTAAGATTTGCTAACACTGTATTTTTGGAACCCATCGACAGTATAGAGAGTATACCACAAGCTCGTTGGAAGCTTATGTGCTACATATGCAAGCGCAAAGGAGCTGGCGCGTGCATTCAGTGTCATAAGAGCAACTGTTACTCAGCATTCCATGTGACTTGTGCTCAGCAAGCTGGTCTATGTATGCGTATGAGAACGGTACAGCCAACTAATGGTGAACCAATGTTGGTGCAAAAAACAGCTTTCTGTGAAACACATACACCGCCCGATTATCAGCCTTCTACGAATCCTGTGGACGCGCGAAGGAGAGCGATAGCTAACAAGAAGAGTACATCAGCGCCTGTTATTTCCATTCCAACCATACCACCCGAGAGAATCAGAGAAATTGCTAGGTAATACAAAAATTTTATTTTGATCTATATATGATAATGGTTATAATAAATACAATTTGAACATACAGTATAATAAAATCATTTTAATGAATTGTTAGATTTATACTTGTTATTTGATTTAATCAGTTTAGCGGAAGGGATACCAAAAAGAAGCCAATTAATACAACGTCTTATTGCTTATTGGACACTGAAACGACAATATAGAAACGGTGTTCCACTTCTTAGAAGATTGCAAAGTTCTCATCCACAATCTAGACCACCTCCACTTGGAGAACATCCCTCTTCGCCGACGCATGATGGTGAATTGCGAGGAGAATTGTATCGTCATCTTAAATATTGGCAGTGTCTACGTCAAGATTTGGAACGTGCACGATTGCTATGTGAATTAGTACGGAAGCGTGAAAAATTAAAAAAAGAATTATTCAAAGTGTTAGTATAGCTACGACACACGATGAATAATATAGACATCGGTTTATTGGTAAAAATTGGCATTAACCCTCAAATACTGAGATTGGTCCATGGGATCACGTGAAAAATACAAAATGCTATATCTGTTTTTATTAAAGTACTTTCATAAAGACCATTTATGATGGTTTAATTAATAAAATATAGTTTTATAAAATTCTTGTGTTTTTATTTCAGTTGTTTTGAATCAATATCCCAGGGATCAACCTCAGAGGTAAAAGTGTCACTATTTTTTACCTCAGTACTTAATAAGATAGAAAAATAAATCTGCAGATTTTTATAAAAAAACTTAATGAATACTTTTTTATAATGCCAATTTATATACACATCATAAAACATATTTCTTTTTAAATATTAATTTTAAGAAAAATTGATTGCAGAAAGGAGAAATGTTTATGGCTTCAATTGCGACCATTTGAAAGTGTTTTACGTACATTGTTAGAAGCTATAAAGGCGAAAGATACAAATGATGTATTTGGGCAACCAGTTAATATCAAAGAAGTCCCAGATTATCTCGAAATAGTATCACATCCTATGGATCTCTCTACTATGCAGGTAATAATTTTACATTACGTTTGTTTATGTTTATATTTGTTAAAATATATTTCGTGACTCCATCACCTCATCAAAATATAATCTATAATTATATGTCATATTTTTTATTATAGGCAAAATTAGAAAAGCATGAATACCACTCACTTTCGGCTTTGGAGACCGATTTCAATTTAATGGTGAGCAATTGCCTAGCATATAATCGCAAAGATACCATGTTTTATCGAGCAGGAATGAAAATGAAAGAACAAGGTGGAGCTTTGATAGAACAGACTCGCAAAGACTTTCCTGAGGTTAATCCAGCCTCTGAACCCGAACAAGTCGGTTCTAAATCTAGAAAGAGAGAAAGATCGAATCGTAATCGTGTGGAAACAGAATCACAGTCCAATGAGAAGGAAATTGGCGGGGGGGTAAATAGGAGAACAGCAGTATTGTTCACTCGCAAAGCTAGAGCCCGTAATGCTAAAAGCAGTCAAATGTTTCTTCCAGAAGATGATAAAAAGAAACAAAGTGATAGTTTTAAAATATATAGGTAATTACACACACACACACACACACACACACACACACACACACACACACACACACACACACA